GGAGCAGGAAGTACATCCTCTGCTGTGGCTTCTTGATGATGGTCCCCATAGCCAGTGATGCTTTTCAGGCTCCCCCACACAGATGAGGGGTCGGTGGCTGAAACCTGAGCTTTCAGCTTTTCAGAGTAGCTGCTCTTTGCTGCTTTGATCTCCTTTTGTCAGTGTGTTCCTGGCCTGGCTGTACAGAGTCCTGTCCCCACACCGGTAAGCTTCCTCTTTGGCATAATGAAGCTGCTTGAGTCTGGCTGTAAACCAGGGCTTGTTGTAGTTGTAGTTGTAGGTGTAGTAGTAGTAGTAGTAGTAGTAGTATGTGCAGAAGGTCTTTTTGGGCACACACACATCCTCATAAAAGCTGATATAAGATGTGACAGTGTCAGTGAGTTCATCCAGGTCTGTAACTGCAGTCTCAAATACACTCCAGTCTGTGCATTCGAAGCAGCCCTGTAGCTTTGACTTAGCCTCCTCAGTCCAGCTCTTCACTGTTTTGACCACAGGCTTCACAACTTTAAGTTTCTGCCTGTAGGTTGCAATAAGACCATACAATGATCAGAGAGTTCGAGGGCTGCGCGGGGGACAGAGCGATAGGTGTCTTTTATTGTTGTGTAGCAGTGGTCCAGTGTGATTTTGTCCCTGCTGTCCTGTCCCTGACGTGCTGCCTGTATTTGGGCAGTTCGTGGGTGAGATTTGCTCTGTTAAAGTCACCTAGAACAATGAGTGGGGATTCGGGATTGTTAGATATTAGTAATTATTAGACAATGTGTTGAATCAAATGTGTTAGTAATGCAGTTTAGTAATAGTAAGTCTGCTCTAGTCTGCTTTGCTTCAAGGTTAGAAGACAATGTTGATTCTGAAATGTGAGCTACAGTTACCATGACACAAATTGTTTTCTTGTATTAAATTTTGTGTTAGAATATTATGTCTGAGTGAATGTTTTAGTTAAGCACCACATGACAACACACACACACACACATTGAAATTCTACATTTCGTTATGGCCAGCAGCTCCATGCAGCTGGAGCTCTAGATAAGAGATGGAGTTTGCGGACTGACTCCATCTCGTGATGTTTTGCATTCTTTCCATGTAAGGGGTTAGCCAAAACTTACAAATGTATTAGGCTCTGTGCTTCCGGGGGTCTTTTTTCCAGCAGCCTGCCTGTGGATGTCTGGAGGAAGGAGCCACCCGGGTTGTGTTTTGTAACTTTTCTTGTGGTTTAAATAAATCACTAAAATGAAGAAAGATGGACTCCTTCCTTACTCATATCTGTCCAATAAAAGAACTGGGGTATTACCGGATGTTCTAGCTCCACGCTAGTTATCAGTTCAGCCAGGAGCTGTAGTGTGCTAGCGTGGGCCTGCGGTCTTATGTACACTCCAATTAGAATGAAAGTGTTAAATTCTCAGAGAGAATAAAAAGGTTTGCAATTGTTAAAAAGAGTCTCTAAGTCCGTGTTACCTGCCCTCTGTAGCACCATGACATCAGTGCACCAACTTTCATTTATGTAGAAACAGATTCCCCCTCCTCTTGTTTTCCTGGACAGCTCCATTACGCGATCCATTCTGTGCACCTGGAAGCCCGCTCAGCCAGGTCTCTGTGAAGCACAAATGTACACACCGAACATGCTCTTATTCATCCTCTAAAGCAGTTGTTATAAATCTGAAGGCTTTCCAGACTTAGCCTTTAGCCTTAGATTTTTTTCATGTCAATAACTGGACACCTTTATTTCTCTGAAAACTACCTGAATAAAACAGAGAGAGAAAAAGATCTTTGAACTGATCATACAGCAGTGGCTGGAAAGGTAAATCTGAGAGAACTTCTTTTACTTTTGTTAACTTATTCTGAGTTAGAGTAACAAGTTTTTAACATTCAGAATTTTTATAATGCCTACATAAATAAGCTAACACATTGTCCAAATTACAGAAGCTTATTTATGATAGGATAAAGTCAAATATGATTCAGTGACATTTGCTTTATGAGGTCAACACTGCTTTCAAGTTCTGTCCTTATGACTTCCAAATCATTCCTTAAGGACATTTGTACCATCATCCATCAGATTTGTTAGGTTAAAGTGTTTATAAATAACTGGTAGTCACTGGATATGATATGAAAATAAGACATCACTCTTTCTGAGGTCATGCACTAGTAAAATCATTCAACTTTTACTTAAAGAAAAGCTGTTTAATCTGACTTTTTAATTTTTTTTTTCAGAGTGCACATTCATCATCTTGGATAAGCAGCGATGGGCAGATCACCAGTATAGAAGAGGAGCAGCGCACGGTGGGAGATGTCAACATGTTCCTGAGGGACCCAACAGACCTCTCCTCGGCTGAGCTGGAGATCATGATAGCAGGTGATGCCCAGTGTGCTTATCTTAAAAGTGATTCAAAAATCTTGAACACCATGTATCATTTTCCTTCCACTTCACAATTATGCAATACTTTGTGTTGGTCTATCACATAAAATCCCAATAAAATACATTTAAGTTTGTGGTTGTAATGTGACAAAATGTGGAAAAAATCAAGAGGTATGAGTACTTTTGCAAGGCACTGTACTGCCCATTTTCTGCAATTCATTCTTGTGCTGTTAGTTTGAGAACCAACCTGTGGTGGAGCAGGAAAAATAATGCGAAATCGCCATGAGAATGCAGATACTGTAGCAGTGGATGAGATTGATGCAGGTGTATGATTTGTTGTAAGCCGACTTGCAGAATAAACAACTTTTAAATAATATTTTTGTGCATTTGTCAAAAAAATAAACTGCTCCTAACATTCAGTACTATCCTATGTTGACTAAAAATAATGGGATGGATACATCGCTTGTTTCTTATTCCTTAGATATAAACTACATTTGACAATGTGTGATAGTCTTGGCAAAGCAGCTGAAAACTGTAAATTCTTACATTTATCTCTCTGTACAGTATTTATTTGAAACACCTCTTTATTCATACTAAAAATTAGTGGTTTTAGGTTGTAGTTAAAAAAATAAATGGTAGGAATGAGCCACAGTTTTGCCTAAAAGCCTAAAACATGTCTTGTAACTTTTCTTCTTTCTCCTCAGCACACAGTAAGGCTGCCCTTTAGTGGTGGCACACA